TGGCGTTTAAAATCAACGCCAATAATCTAATTATGGCTAGTTAAAATCAACTAAATGATCCCTCTAAAGAATACAATTCCGATTTGTCATAGACTTCCTCCCTCCTCTTTAACTGTAGAAAAGTATTTACTTTGAGTGATGTAGCATTAGGTAGGTAGTAAGTAATCTATTGAGCATTAAAAGGATATAACAAGGATCCCATAGGGCATTGACTTTTGAAGATATGAAATGTAATTAAAAGTCGTGAGAATCCTTTTTGTGTTTGAATGAAACAAACACAATAACATTATTAGTCAAACATTGCGTGTTGCAGTTATTATTTTTTTTTATATCATGAAGTGGCAAACGAGCGAGCGGCCACCTGAAATCGCTGAAACATCGAAGTGACCGTTGCCCACAGACATACGCAATTGCATATGCGTTGCCTACCTTTAATCGACGGAGGAGAGGATGCACAGAAAGAAAATATTTTCCCTTTCCATGCATACTCTCATCCGGAAAGTCCACTTCCACTTCCGTCCTTTCCTTATAAGAAAAGGGTGGGAAGAGAACGAGGACTAAATTAGGCCTCCGGGACGCACACTCATCAGACGAAACGCGGGATTGCTTCCACTTCACGCCTGTTATCTTTTTAAAAACGTGATGAGTACAGTTTTGCCTACACTTTACACATGTGATAAAAAAACACAGCTCTCATTTTGAATGTTTATTATGTAGCTAGCGATCCTTACGTTCATTTTCAACTGTCGTAATCCACCCACGTCAAATCCACTTCCTGTTGCCGTCCTATGATTATAAGAAAAGGGTTGGAAGGGAAATCTTGCATATTTTACTGTAATTAAATGTACCCCCTGCGTCACTCCGCAAATAAGACGCGTGAATGATTTAAATATAATCTTTATATGTTAGTGATTTCAGTGTCACTTTCAATGTCACGCGATAAACTACATTATGACGTTTCATGCAATCGTGTATCAAGGTTAAAAAATATCATGATAAGGTGTTTGTTTGAAATACACATGTTGAGTTGAAAATAACTCTTTCGGACTTTAACCAAATTTACTTCGGATGAGTCTTTAGAAAAGCGTGTCTAGTGATATGAACTCTGGTGACCTCCACTAGTCACAAACATCAACAAATTACCTTAAATTCTGACAAATAAATAAATTAAAATCATTACAATATTCAAACTTTATGGAAGCTCGTAGTTAGTAAGGCGCATGTTTCACAAGGGATTTCAAGCAGGTCCAATGAGAATAGAGGAAAGCGCGCCGTGCCCCTCCACCGCATCCGTTTACGTTCTGTTCGGCGCAGCCTATCGTTACGTTACAAGCCGCCATAACATTTGGATGGCACTGTACCGCTTTTCTAACCTATCGAATAACAGATTAGCCACACTTTGGTGTACATTTCCAACTATATGTTACAATAATATGTACAAGTTAAAAACCATAATGGCTAATTACATATACTTACACAGATTACTATTTATTGTCTTTTTTTGATTGACACGAACTTGATAATTTTATTTCCTTTGAGTTATTTAATTTAATGGTTATTATGTGTTGCTACAGCAACGTAACAATAACAATAAAGGTTGTTAAAAATCAATAATACTACGGGAAAGTATTGAAGATATGCACTTTTCAAGTTAGAAGTAAGTAACTAGTAATTACTTTATGTGAGGTCAATGCCGAGCAGTGTGCGCCCGTATGGCTGAAAATGTGAAATAAATGTTTTTTGTTTTAATATCAAATTTTATGTTCAATAAAATGGGCTTAATGGATGCATCGTAAGAATGCATGAAGATGGAATTAACATGCTCAGTTTCAACAGTACAAATGTATAAATTACTTAAAGCTACAATATAACACGATTAAGTATTGACATTCTAATTGTTCGTAATGATACTGAAACGTAGAAAAGTAAAATATTCAAGAAGCAGCTATTGTTTATACGCGAAGAATATTCCAGATCGGAATATTTAATGCAATAGTTATTGTGACAATTGTGAGAATTTATTTTATTTGAGGCCAGGTTTTCTGTTATCTTTCTAATATTATATATATAAAAGTTTAGATGGATGGATGTTGGAATGGATGTCTTTGAATTTGGCATGTTACAGCAGAGTGTGGAATAACACATAGCGTACTAATTCAGTTTTTTTTTATTTCGCGCTGAAGGAAATCGCGGGCAAAACTTATATTAATATATTTTTCGAATTATTATGCACTATACAGTGCGCTATTTAAGGATAAAAAATAACAACATAGAAAATTGTATAATAATTTTTTACATCACTTTAGCAATATTTTATTATTTGCGGGACCAAATTAACTATCAGTGATTTTTAGTTAAAACTCGTGTATAGATAAGGAACAGATAATTATCTAATTTGACTTAATAACGATACAGAAAAAAGTAATTATATAGTGGCTATATGATAAATACATACGTGCCGGTCTCGTACTATAACAATGACAATTTGTCGTCACTGACCACTATTTAGGTTATAAGGTAAACGACTACTAGTATATATATATAGATCTATATACTTGTTGTAGAGTTGTCGGTCGGTCGTATTGAATGCCTAATTAATAATAGTTAACTGTGCAATGATATTATATATGTTTGTGAATGTAAATACTTATGTTATACCAAATCAATCAGGTATTTAGTATATTAGTGCTTTTTATTATTGATAATAAAGTTTGAACGATAAATTCTTTGTAATTTTAAAAGTAAAAAGTCAAATGATAGTAATTCATAATGATAATAAAAGTTATATAAAGATTGTAAT